TTTTGCAGAAAACACAGGTTTCCAGCCTACACTTGCATTCCTTTTCTAAGTGCTCAGTGAGATCAGCTTTTTTCACCTCCATGCCACAATCAGGATGCACACAAGGTATTTTAAGGAATGGACAGCTGTTCATGTGGTTCTGTGTTGAGACAAAAATTGTTTTGATTCACTTTTAGTTCTTACAACATACTATAAAAGTACTGTTTTTCCTGCCCAAGCTGAATAATCTTATTTTTCCACCAATTTTAGACTCAAAAATATACTTGTGAACATTATTAGGTTATAGAAACACATAGTGGACTATGTCAATACAACATCAGATTAACTGTCCTATCAGTAGAGGTAAAGGTAAAGTCTCAGCATGCGAGCCAAGTGGAGCTTATCCCAGTTTCTGTCGCATGAAGCGACTAGAAGTATTGCTACTCCCCCCTGAATGGGGTGCTAGTGCATCGCAGGGTTACCCCCCAGCATTATATTTGCCGGTACCCATTTCTACACCTCAGTGAAAAGAGGCACTGAGAGTAAAGTCTCTTGCCCAAGAACACAGTACAAAAATGTATTCACAAGTTCAGAGACAAAAGTAGATTTTAGCATACAGACCTGTAGCTTTTGGCAAAGAAGTACAGAGATGATTTGGCATCCAGAAAAACTCAACTTTTTGTCTGGACATTTTTGTGCTGAAGGTCACATGTGAGTATTGATAGAACAAGTCGATGAGTGTCCCAGTAAGTGACAAAAATTCAATATCCATTGATAATATATGTTCTAATATCTTTTTCTAAGACGAGAGAACTGAGACAATTGCAAGAATGACAAAGAGATTTATTTCAACTGACCATGAACCAGCTGCTATTAAATAAATGTACATAATGTACACAGTCTCAGTATATCAATCATTTTAACAGACCATGCAAACAGAACAAAGTCAGACACTGAAACAGAAGGCGAAACCTGACATCAACCAGTACACTTCTGTAAGAATCATGTTAGGCTTGGGTACACTGCTATGTCCAAATTATGCAGCACAACTAATAGTTATTAATAATTATTGCACTGAAGCAACATGTAATGTTGTAAGCTCATACATTTACCTCCAAGTGTCTCACTTCTCCTTTCCACTTGCATTCATCATCCAAGAATGTGCAGTGGATAACAAAGGATAGCACTTCACGACGCATGAAGTGATCAGGAAAAACCTGAAGAGAAATGATCATTTACAAGCTGAAGATGGCCCAGCATTATATGGTGCTTCCAGGGATTAAGGCATAATGTTACAAATACTGTAACGACGTAGTATCACGATGGTCAAGACACCTGTTTTCTTTATTGTGTAAATCTCAGAAGTACATTGCGCACATTGTGACGTCATAACTGCATAATTTATGACACATAATGTTAATTCACGGAGATTACACTTGTATGGGATAGTGCCCTTTAAAGGATAACCCAGTTCAGTTTAGGGATATTTATCCATATTGGGTACTTTTGATAAGATGGTGCCTTCTTATTGCCACACAACAATTTCTCATTCTTCACATGCCCAGTTGATGTTGATTTTTCAGCATGTTACATTAGTCATTTGCTTGATTAATGGTTTTTCATTCTTGGTGCATTGGGTAATTTATAATCTTGCATGTGAGTGCTTACTAAATTAATATGCTAATTGTAGTATTCCTGGCTTTAAAATCTAGGTTTCATTTCGAGTACAGTACTTTATGCAATCTCCCCAAAATATCATACTCTTTTAGCGTAATGACTCCTTGAATTTATTTTATTTTTTTCTAATGAAGAAGGGTGCTGATGATGATTGAGTTATCAAAGCCCACAAAATCACCCTTCTTATCACACTTCTTATATCTGAATCACACATGACAAGTGTGATTAAAAGTGTGAAAAAGTGTGATTTTAGTGTGACAAGGTCACTTTAGTTCATTTTCAGTTATAATTTTCCAATTATTTTTTATTAGTGTTGTGTTATTCTTCTGCTCACTATTTGGGTTATTTTCCTACATTAGTTTGGTTTCCTTACACACCTTATTTTGGTATGTGTTGGTGATTCATTCCCACACACTTCTCTTAGCTAAATC